CCAAAAACGTGGGGAGGAGTGATGATTGAGTGGAAAGGACATTGATGTGACCTAGGTAAGGTGGGGAGGTGTGGCTGGTCATAGATTGGGTGTGGGAGTGGTTGCTTGTGTCATAAAGTAAAGCAAAGTCAACACTCCACCTCTTTGTACTTTACCCACTTGCTCTTATTATTTAAATAAGGATTTTTATGAAAATATGATTAAATTGAGAATACTTAGGGTTTATTATGTTAAAATATGATTTTGGGTGACAATCCCGCGTTAAAATAATTAAAAACGGGCCTTAAATGCAAAACTATGCGAAAACCGTGAAGACATGAGTTCCCAGCGAGACCTCTCGGTCCTAGGCCGAGGCTCGGTCCATGCTGAGGTTGGAGTCGGAAGCGAAAGGCGCGAGTCAGACGCGAGAAGTGAAGGGCGAGGGTCCGGTCCGAAGGCTCGGTCCGAAGGGTCAGTAGCGAAGGTGAGGTTCGGTTCGGGAATAAGAGGCGAGAATGTCAGAACCGAACGGACTGTAGTGAACAGTAGTGAACAGTACCTTCGGTTCGGTTAGTGAACAGTACCTTCGGTTCGGATCAGCAGCCTTCTTCATCAGGAGGTTTCGGTTCCTAAGAGGGGTTTCGGTTCCTAAGGTCCGTTTTTCGCGTTTTCGCCCCGTTTTAAGCCGTTTTTGACCCGGTTAAGGGCCGAAATGACCCGAATGATTCTAAAAAGTTATGGGAACTATTTGAGAGAGATTTGGGAGAGATTTCTCACACTTGGAGAGATTTGGGAGAGATTTGACATTCTTGGAGAGATTTCTCATACAAAGAGATATTTGCGAGAGTTTTCACATACTTAGAGGGATTTGGGAGAGATTTGACATTCTTGGAGAGATTTCTAATACAGAGAGATATTTGAGAGAGATTTCGCATACTTGGAGAGATTTGGGAGAGGTTTGACATAGAGAGAGATAGTGTGGAAACGATTGAGAGAGGTTCCATGTGGGATAGTTGTGAGTGCCCGGCATCGAAATGCATGGTTCGTGAACCCTGTTAAGCCTTGTTTAAGGATCTTACACACTCCCGATGATTATGCAACATTGTTTTATCGGTCTAGTTCATTGATTAGAACTAGGGTTTAGGAAATTTTTAACACAAGACTTTTCTCAAGTGATGTTTTCCCATCAATATAGCAAGTTATACAGTATGAACATAACACAAACCCTAATACACAAGGTTTAATCGAGTTGACCGGCTTGACTTGATGACTTGACTTGACTCAAGATTGACGATTGTCACACTGTTATTCTAATACTCTATGATATTAGAGTTCATTACGGGAATAAAATATTTTCTTCCAGAAATCTTAGGACTATATATAGAAATCTAAACCATATTCGTTCATTAGTTGCATTTCCAACTAGAGAAAAGTTGAATTCTCTCTCACGGATCTTCGGGTTTTTATCCCAAATTGTGAGTACTTCTATCTAGTTATATTATATAGCTTAGATAGTGTTTTGTAACATCAAAATTGGATCAAAACCCCAAGATTTGGGAGTTTACCGCCCAAGAACACTTGGAGAGTAAACTCCTTTATAAGGACCAAAGTGTACCCAATGTCCCTCAAAGCCTTGGAAATGAACCTAGAAGCTACCATTACAATGTTTAGACCACAAAACAACTAAGAATCAAGGGTGAAAGTGAGTTCACGGCCAAGGAAGTTCTTGGGCCGTGAACTCCATTTTAGGTTGCCAAAATGCCCTAAATGCCTTCATTAATCCAAGAGACAAACATAGCACTTTACCTTGATGTTTCCAGGACCCAAAGAAATCAAAATACCAACACCCATGAGTGTTTACGGCCGCAAACACATGACCAAATGGTCCATGGGCCGTAAACTCAAGTTAGGGGTGTTTTGATGCAACAAAAGGTCAACTTTTGGTCAACACCAAAAAAGTTGCTTGACATCAAATCATAAGAGAAAAGCTCTTGGCATTGAATGGTTTGTTGTTGTTTTTTCTTATAGCATGCCTCAATGTTTAAAGGGTAATAAAGCTTTTTACTAACTTTCATTTGTTATGGCTATCTCCACAAAATTTTATTGAGGTTCTATGAGCTAGGATAACTTACTAACTTCTATGAGTTATAATCAGTGGTTATAATACTCATTCTCGATAACAACATATGATTTTCAAGCAATATTAAGACAAAAGTTTATTGAGACATTTAATTGAACACATGGTGGGGGGCTGTACATACTACAATTTCTAGTGAAAATGGGTTGTTGTACTGATTTTGATTCCACATTGCCCATCAGACATGACTTACTTTATGCACAATGTATAAGGGAAAAAAATAAAAGAATACGAGATTGCTTTATTTCGGATTAAGAGCGAAATTCACAAACCTGGTTAGACAACCCCCATAATGCACCGACGTTTTCTTGTTCAATAGCATAAAATGACTAAGTTTTCTTCATGGAATACCTACTAGATGATCAAATTACACATTGACGTCTCAAATCCCTGACGATCACCTCCAACATACCCTTCCAACAAAATTTTCCAACAGAATTGATAGCAGTGGATACAAGTTACGGAAGAAGAGCGAAAGAAGAGGAATTGAATTAGGACTTGGTAAAGTTTGGATACAGATCTAGCAGAATACGAGTACGAGGAATTAAAACGACGTCGGATAAATAGTTAGGGTACCTATTATTATATTCTCTTAAGGGTATATTCATTTTTCCATATATATATATATATATATATATATATATATATATATATATATATATATATATATATATATATATATATATATTCAAGTCTTAAATACAATTTCTTATGCAAGATATACAATAAAATTAAACATCTCTTAAAAAAAATATCTTAACATAATGTACAACACTTAAATTCAGAAGGATAAAGCCTTAGGTAAGCATTTCTCTTTTCATTTTCTATGTATTGCCAACATGGCAAAAAATTCAACCAATTCAAATGAAGACATATTTTTCTCATGGATTGCTCTTTTTTTCTAATGGACAGAAACATGTTAGAGATTTAAAAAGTCAATGGATATAAAATAACCACATAAACAAATACAAAACCATTTTATTTTACTATATAGTTGTTAGGAATTCAATAAAATAAGTTAAACACTTCTGAGAAAATGATTAATGATTTCGGTAACACTTGTGGAATAAAACTACTGAAAAAATTGCAAACGAAACTGAACACGATATTTAACGTGGTTCAGTCTAATATGATTTACATCCATGGACAAATGATGACCCATGATTTCTTATGTTTAGAACGCTAGATATATGTATGACTCTTGCATGTGCTATATGCTTGTATGCTTACCGGACATGGCCCGTTGACCATTTTGTATGCTATTTATCTTTGTGATTATTGCATGTGTTATGCATTTATCTGTTTATATGTATACCAGATAGGGTCCAATGACTGATAGATATGTATATTGAGCCGGACTTGAAGCCGGGCAAGTCCCATTATATGTTTATTATGTATGGTATGTGGTATTTTGGGGAACTTACTAAACTTTGTGCTTACGGTTTTCAGTTTATATTTTCAGGAACTTCTAGTTCAAAGGGGAAGAGCCTGAGATGATTGCAGTGCACACACCACCTCGTTCCGCATTTTATGATTACTCTGATGTTTCAGGATGTAGATACACTTTGTTCCTCCATGGTCTTATGATGATGTTTTGGATAATAGTTTTATTAAATGCAATTAATATATAACAAAGGACCCTATCATGAAATAATTGAAGGAATGATCCCTATCAATGAAATAATTAATAAAAAGGTCTTTGGTAACATTTTTTTTTTAGTAAATAGTCCCTTACAATGCAGAAAATTACAAATATAATTTGGAAATCTATAATTGATAAGTCAGGAAGGTATATGAGTAATCTAATAAAGAATGAAGTAAGAACGAAACAGTAACAAAGTAAAATGCTATTTTATGCAATTACAATAACATGCAAGTAAAATGCTATTTTATGCAATTACAATAACATGCATGATCCTTGTAAATAAAAAAGTTAAAACATGTCCCTGGACTTAAAAATCCAAAGGAATGGAACAAGTTACCAAGTAAAATGTTATTTCTATGCAATTAGAGAAACATGAATGAGCCTTGTAAATAAAAAAAAATTAAAACAAAACCGTGAACAAAAAAAAAAAATCCAGCGAGATAAATCGGTCAATTTAAAAATTATTTTAAAAGACCATATGGTCCTTCTCCATGAATTTTATTTCAAAAATAACACAACAAAAAAATGATAAGAGTTATGAAATTAAACATGATGAACATTGCTAAAAATTGGAACATTAACAAAATAAAATGTTATTTGATGCGATTACAAGCAAAAGTTGGTAAATGCTAAACATAACATGGATTTAACACAGAAAATTTATGTAAACCAAATGTTCGAAAGGAAGAATAAGATGAAACAAGAAAAGATATAAAGGTTTCGAGAAAAATATATAACAAAACATGAAAGGAGTGTAAAATTATTAATTGAAGGCAACAATAAAAATAAAGATTGAAAAATATGTAATACGAGGAAATAGCTAACCTATTGACCAATCTCTTATATCTCATATGGAATTGAAAGAGAAAGAAGGCAAATGACAAATGAAGAATGTTCATGTATAAACTCGATCCCTGATTTTTTGATATTGGAGATAGAAAGGATCAACTGTTTCGAATGTTTAAATAAATTTTTGAAAGAAACTGAATTAAATAGCATTATACTTATTTAAAAGGAATTAATCATTTAAATGTTTCTACAGGTAAAATGCAAAAAATCAGTAAAATTTCAAGAAATGCATATCACGGATTTAAAGGCCAAGGTTATATAGTAGTACGCAAGGGCATTTTCGAAAGATCACTTAGCTTGGAGGGGCTGCTGACTTGCCACGTGGCATATTTGCACTCTTTTGTTAGGATAAAAATAAAGTAATATGAGAGGAGATACACTTATTGGAGCATGACGACCGCCGCACCTTTCTCCGGTGCAATCGGAAATTCCAGATGGTCACTTGCCGGAATGACTGCCGTCGTCACCGGTGGTACACTTGGGATCGGCTATGCTGTGGTGGAGGAACTGGCGGAGTTAGGAGCACAAGTGTACACCTGCTCACGTAATGAATCTGTACTTAACCAACGCTTACAAGAATGGTCCGACAAGGGTTTTAAGGTCACTGGATCCGTCTGCGACTTATCTTCTCGTCCCCAACGAGAACAGTTTGTGGAAAAAGTCACAACACTTTTCGGTGGCAAACTCAACATCCTAGTAAGTTCTTCCATATCTTACCCGAAACTCTAGTTCTTCCCTTTTTCTTTCAGATGAATCAGAAGACTTACTTCCACAAACTTGTCTCCTGTAGATCAACAATGTTGGGACAAATATATTTAAAACTACGTTAGAGTTTACCCCAGAAGAGTATTCCATGATCATGGCTACCAATTTGGAATCTTGTTACCATATGTGTCAACTTACACATCCTCTTTTAAAAGCTTCTGGAGGTGGAAACATTGTGTTCATTTCATCTGTTGCAGGTCTTGTTCACGTTTCTGTTGGGTCTATTTACAGTGCCACCAAAGGTATGATTGTTGGCTTGTTTGGCGCCATATATAATGCTTATCTTAAGAAAACGGATTGGTTGTAATTAATGTTAGTTTTGCGTCTACAGGTGCAATGAATCAGCTTGCAAAGAATTTAGCATGTGAATGGGGTAAAGATGACATTAGGGCTAATTGTGTAGCACCATGGGTCACGAAAACCCCACTCGCCGAGCATGTAATATACTAATATGACTTCTTTATCTTTCCATTTTATCTTTACTGATTGATAATGTTGTGATTCCCTTGTTGTTTTGTATGTGCAGCTTCTTGAAAGCGAGGAGTTTCTGGAAGCTGTGGCATCTAGAACTCCTCTGAAACGCGTTGCAGAAGCAAATGAAGTTTCATCTCTCGTAGCGTTCCTTTGTATGCCTGCTGCTTCTTACATCACTGGCCAAACCATTGCTGTTGATGGTGGATTTACAGTCAATGGATTCTCGTGAGTGCATTCAATGGTTCGACTTAATCAAGTTGTTTCTTTAAGTAAACTATTAAAATAATTTGGCTCGTGATTTACTTACAGCTGTTATGTTTGGTGTAATTATGAACACTATGTTATATTTTTTAGAGCTCAAGGACCATAACTGTAAATTAGTTTGTGGATGTCACTGTTAGTAAACTAGTACTTGAAATTGACGGTGGTGAGTGGTGACACTTCACGTCCAAATCCACTGGTGGATTGTCACAAAAGTAAAAAAAAATGGCTTGTTTTTTCTTTAAATATCAAAGAATGATGTCCTTACGTAAAGATATATAGATATCTATTAAAGGGTGCTGAAACAAGAAAACGACATAGATAAAAACAAAGAATGATTTTGCATGTTTTTGTGAAACAATCGTGAGGTAGTTTCATTTTTGAAGAACCTTTTATTCTGTAGTCAAAACACGAATGATGTCTTACAATGACTGATCAAATTTCAACGTAGTTTAGCTGTTTAGGTCTGATTAATTTCTTTGGTGTAATAAAATTCATTCTCTCTTTTTTGTTTTCTAAGCACATCCACAATGCATGCATTGAATTCTATAGAACTCTATAGAGTTCAATGTAGTGTCACATCAACATTCAATATTCCATACAATTCTATTCATTTTTATCCCACAATGCATTAAACTCTATAAATTCAATGGAACATATTAAAAAAATATTTATTTAAAGATTTAAAGACTTTCCTTTTGAGTTCAATGACCATTGAACTCCAAATCCATTGAATGTTAAGGTGACATTTCACAATGGTAGAGTTGTATCCATTGAATGACAAATAGGCATATCATCTCATTCAACTCTTCTATTAAACTCCCCATTGTGGATGCTCTAAGATACCGAACCACATTAACTAATTGCATTTTAATTTTGCAATTTTTGAGTAGTTTATTCCGAAAATTTACCGAAATCATTGATCATTTAATTTGTAAAGTGTTTTATTTATCTAAAATAAATGCGCAATTAGATTACGACATTCTTCTTATTAATTTAGAATTGTATTTGTGAATCCTAATTCCTATCCTTAGATATTAATTTGGGTTAAAATATGAGAAATAATCAGAAAAATCCAAATATTTTAGGAAAATTTTTAATAATGTTATGAAAAAAATTGAACAGAAAACTCAAAGACTATTTAATTTTTTTAATACAAAAACCCAAAAAAATCGATTAATTGATTCACTTTAGCTCTTTTGACCTCCAAAGCATATCATGGGACCAAAGTGTTTACTTTTTCAAAATAATGATAATTTTTCCATGGATTTCATGAACATTTTTATATAATGCATAAACGTATTTTTTTTATGTATTTTTATTTATTTTTATGTATTTATGTATTTTTTTAAAGTTTATATATGTATATGTTAAGTATTTTTATACATTTTAAATGGATAAATAAATATTTTTATATATTTATATGTATTTTTAAGTATTTAACATAGCTTTTGTATATTTTATGTATTATTTTTTATATATATTATGTATTTATATGCATTTTACATATTTATGTATTTTTTTTAAGCTTTTATATGAATATTTATGTATTTTAAATGTATAAATTTAGTTTTTTATGTATTTATATGTATTTTACATTATTTACTTATTTTTATTTGTTATTTTTATGTATTATGTATTTATATTTATTTTTACATATTTATGTATTGTTTTAAGCTTTTAATATAGATGTTTATGTATTTCTATATACTTCAAATGTATAAACGTATTTTTTTTTACATATTTATATTTATTTTTAAGTCTTTTACTTATTTTTTTTTATGTATTTTTAGGTGTTATTTTTTATATATTAAATATTCATATGTACTTTTACTTATATGCTTTTTTAAGTTTTTTTATATAGATGTTGATGTATTTTAAATATATAAATGTACTTTTTTTTATGTATTGTTAAGTATTTTTACATATTCTCTTATTTATTTTTATATGGTTTTTATGTATTACATATTTATATGTATTTTTACGTATTAATGTTATACATGTGTTTATGTATTATTATAAATTTTAAATGTATAACCGTATTATTTTTATGTATTTATGTATTGTTTTATTTCAAGTCGTCTTCACCATTTCATCTATTTCTCAAAGCTTCTCTGAGTATATATGTCTAGATGCTTTTGCTATATACCCATATAATTTAAGCTTTCACATTTGCTTATATTGAAATTAAATATCGAATTAAAAGATAAAATAACAATTTATAAGTTTTCGAATTAAACATCAAAAATCTTTTTGCTTATAGGTTTTCGTATGTGTATAAGCTATTATTTTACTTTTTAATTCGATGTATGATTTCAAGATAACCGAATTGGAAAATGTTAAAATATGTGGGTGTGTAGAAAAACTATCCAGACATAATCGAAGAAGTTTTCAGAATTAGATTAGATGGTGAAGACACTTAAAGTAAAAAAATACATAAATACATAAAAATAATACCGGTATACATTTAAAATAGATAAAAATACATAAACATCTATATAAAAAACTTAAAAAACATACATAAATACATAAAACACACACACATACACACACACAAACACACACACACACACATATATATATAATACATAAAAAGTATATAAAATATGTAAAATACTTAAAAATACAGTTAAATATGCATATATATATATATATATATATATATATATATATGTGTGTGTGTGTGTGTGTGTATGTATGTGTGTGTGTACATTTAAAATACATGCAAATACATAAACATCTAAATACAAAACTACAAAAATACATAAATATGTAAGAATACATACAAATACATAATACATAAAAATAAATAAAAAATTATGTAAAATACTTAAAAATACATATAAATACTTTAGAAAATACGCTTATACATTTAAAATACATAAAAAATACGTAAACATATATATATATATATATATATACACATAAATATGTAAAAAATACGTTTATACATTCTATACAAATTTTGTCAAAATCTGCAAAAGAATTCCTATTAGTTTGCAAAAATTAATAATTTGGTCTTTTGACCTGTTGAACATGACAAAAACAGTTAAAATGAATAAATTAGTTGTTTTTTGGGCCTTTCTGTTGGAATAGTGTCTAAGGCTGCAACTATAATAGGCAAGTATTTGATCCGGTTGTGTATGGTCCTTTTGGGTTGCCTTCACCATAACAACTTGATGGATGATTTGTTAAAAAGAGAGTAAATATTATAAGGAATAATATATGGTTATTTGATTAATATAAGTCATAAATTAATTGGAATTAATTTGGTGACTTAAAGAGATTAATTAAATAAGAGGGTATAAACTGTCAATTGTTTGATAGTTAAACTTTAGACTATAAATCCATTGGGATATGCTTTGGACGAATTCTATGAGATATAGGATAGCTAAAATCGTCCAAAGACTTATCTATGGAATGGATTTGGATAGCCTTAAGAGAAGATTATCTAATTAGGGTTTAGGTTGTAACCTTAAGGAGTCTACAAGTATAAATAGACCCTAGGGGTGAGGGAATTCAACACACCATCTAAAGTAGAGATACTCTGGTCGAATTCCTCCCCTTTCCTCTCTCCTAAATCATCTTGCTTGCTATTGGTGTTTGTAAGCCATTAGAGGAGTGATATTTGTGACTCTAGAAGCTCCAAGACAACAAGATCAACAAGGAATCCAAATGTATGATTCTGGATCTATTTCAATGTTGTTATTTAACCTAATTAGCCATTAGAAGTCTTGGATTCAAAGCATGTTTAATTAGAAAGCCTAGATCCGAGCATTAGGGTTTTGCATGCGCACATAGGAAAGTTCTTATGGCTAAAACCCATCACTTTCTATTCAAAAATTAATAGTCGAGACTTTTCTGTTAAATTTTTTTTGGACTTTATTAAAAATTTTCCCAAATTATTGGGTCTTTTTCGGAGATTTCCTGTTAAAATATTAAGTAATAATCAACTAACTAAAATCTTATCTCTTATTTAGATGTTTGGAAATAGTGATGTTCTTCTTCCTCCTCCACGACCCACTCATAACTCAAACTTAACACTTTTGTCTATCCTCTCAAAAGACAAGCTTACTAGTCCAAACTATATGGACTAAATACAAAATTTGAAGATAACACTTCGTTATGAGAACAAGGAGTATGTTCTCGATACCCCTATTCTAGAAATCAATGAAGTAGCTGCTACTCATGAGGAACTTGATGAGCACAAACAACATGTTGACGATGTCACTAAAGTCGCTTGCATTATGATTGCTACAATGACATCTAATCTTCAAAAGTCCTATGAGAAATATTAAGATGGGTTTTCTATATTACTTCTATGTACTTGCGGAATTTCACATAACTAATTTTGTGTGCATGCAATCCAAGAAACAATTCTATATATTTTCTCATAATAGCAATATACTTTGAAACTACTAAATAACCTAGCTAAAAACAAAGATCGAAAGTTTTTTTTTAAAGCGGAAGCCTCTAATGAATCACACAAAAACCCTAGGATTGAAAATAGAGAGAGAGAGAGAGAGAGGAGAATTTCGAAATTCGTTCTAAAGTTGTAGGGTTCTTTGAGTCTTATGGAGGTCCGTATTTATACTTGTAGGATTCCCTAATTTGAATCCTAAAGATTCATAAAATATTCCTTATTTCCTTATTAGTTTCCTTGGTGACCAAGAAAACTTCGGGAACCCTTGTAGGAGGCTCCCTAAAACCGTCCCTAGCAAGGATGTTCTAGAATGTTTCATTGCTCAACTATTAAACAAATACATTCTACCCTTAGACTCAACAATTAATTCTAATTAATCCAACACAATTAATTAAATTAATTATGATTAATTCTAAATTAATAATTTTTCATTTCTGACTAATATATCAATCTCATAATATATTAACATATTAATTATTTCTCTCTTATGATCAATCCATGTCATTTTCCCAGTTATGAGGGCAACCCAAAAAGGACTTTACTAT